TATCCTGCGACTTGAGCGAGTGTGTCCTGCGGCTGTGCAAGGTGAGGATATCACGCTGCTGATCGGTCAGCGCAGCGCGAGCATGCACATGGCGAGGGAAGACGCGCATGACAAGAGGGGTCACATTTCGCTGCGCAGGTTTGCGGGGACCGATGACCAAGGGTGGATGATTGGTGGAGGATTCGGCAACACCTGTCACCCCTTTCTAGTCATCCTGCAGCTTTGAAGCTCTACTGCCAACATATCCTCCAAGGGGTCCTTCTTGGCCGGATGCCGGATCTTCTTATTCCTGCCCTGTCAGCCATTCGTCGAGGAGGCAGATTTATTCCCCTCTCCAAGGGAGCTGATAAACCTGGTCTCCGGCCAATTGTCATCGGTTCTGCACACCGTCGACTCGCGACGAAGCTTGCTTTGGCAGCGATTCGCTCATTTCTTGACCAGCACTTCCTCTCGTCTCACCCTCGAGCGATTCAGTTCGGACTCGATCGAGACGGCTGTCTGAAGTTCTCGCAAACCGCGTCAGCGCTCCTGCCCCTTCACGCTCGCGGTGATGATGAGGATGTTGCCAACCCCACAGTGCTGGTGAGCTTGGATGCTTGGATGCAAAGAACGCCTTCAACTCCCTCGACCGCCAGGCTCTCTTCGATGCAATCGAGGGACGTGCGAGTCGCGACTACTCACTGAAGGCGCAAGCTTGCCCTCTTGCGAGCATCTCCGTTTGTTCGCCTCCTACCTCTCCAGCTACTATGGAGACTCTGCTGACCTTCGACTCTTTCACAAAAGTCCGAGTCAGCCTCCGTTCAGTGTACCTCGGGCGTCTGTCAGGGCGATGTCCCCTCCAGCGTGTTTTTCTGCCACAGTATCCACCCCCTGCTCCTCCATATCGCAGAGCTTTTTCCCTCTGTTCGAGTCTTGGCCTATGCTGACAACGTCGTACTTGTCGGTCCACTCGAGGATGCCGTTGCAGCTACGTCCGCTATGAAGAAGTACATGGTGGCTGATCTGAAGCTAGAGATTCAACCTCGCGAGTCGAAAGTTTACATCCCCTCCTGGCATCAACACCCTGATCTCTCGCAGCTGAAGAAGAGCCTTAAGCGCCGTCTCAAGACTCAACTTCTTCACTTCGAGGTCGTCACTGGCGGGATTACACTTGGCGGCCTGCCTATCGGCACGGATGGATTTCATGCTAGTCAGCTCCGAGCGAAGGTCTCCACCCTCAACGAAGAGCTCTCGAAGCTCGGGCTCGTCCAGCATGGCTTCCGACATGTTCAAGACGCTGGTGAGGGCGAGCCATCTCCAGAAGCTGCGCTTCTTCCTCCAGGGGTCTTCTCCGTTTCTCCCGCGGGTCCAATCACAGATTCGTCGCTTTGACCTCTCTGTCCACCTGGCGCTTGAGAAATACCACCGCTGGCCTTCCTCGCAGTACCTCGCCGCGCATCCCGACCTGCTAGAGTTTGCGAGGTTCAAGCGGGAGCTTCCGCATAGTCGGGGAGGGGACGAGTTCACGCCCTCTGAGGGTCTACACCCCGCTGTTTACTATACGGCTATCGCTCGCTTCCTCGCTTGGTACTCTGACCAGCCGATGTCCCGGATGTTGCCCTCTGCCCAGAAGCATCCTCTGGCGACCTTCTTCGTTGAGGCGCACGACTTCGTTCATAATGCTGGAGCGATCCTCTACCGTCGTGTCAAGGCTCCTGCACCGGCTGCAGATGGCGCGGCGATCCCACCTGCCCCGGCTGCTGTGCCTGATGACGCAGGACGCCCCCCGGCATCTGTGGTACACATCCCTGGTTTGCGCGCTCTCGTCGACTCGTCTCATGAGCTCCATTACCACCAGCACTTCATTCCTCCCCCTGCGCAGCGAAATGTGACCCCTCTTGTCATGCGCGTCTTCCCTCGCCATGTGCATGCTCGCGCTGCGCTGACCGATCAGCAGCGTGATATCCTCACCTTGCACAGCCGCAGGACACACTCGCTCAAGTCGCAGGATAGGGTCTTGCAGTCTACCATCTTCGCTCATTTTCCTGAGCGTGACCTGAGCCACTCTCCGATGCGAGTCTCGAGCTACTACCCCCTCAAGGCCTTCCCGCACCGCTATGCTCAGATGCTCGACTGCTATCTCCATGGCATGCCGATCTGCCAGTGTCCGACGGAATGTGATGGATGTCAGCGCGAGCTCGATCCCTCCGTTGCTGCACATCATCTCCAGACCTGCAAACGCCGATCCTCCAAGCTTCCCACGGCGCATGACAACCTTACTCGTACGATTCGGTCGATGCTGAACGAAGCTGGTCTTCAGAGCGTCATCGATACAGTGGGGGATCCTCGTTCTCGACGGCAGGTACCCTCCCATCCTCATGGCCGCAAGATGAAGGGCGATATCCACATTCCTGGAATCCGCGATCGAGGGTCCGAGCAGTACGAGGGCTTGATGGCGGACGTGACGTTGGTCCACCCTTACATTGGTAGCTCTGCCGACCTGACCAAGTGGGGGGAGGTCAACCTCGACGCCCTCCATGTTGCAGCGTCTGAGAAGATTCGCAAACATCGCGCTGCATATGCCATGACTACTCCTCCTCGAGCGTTCATCCCTCTTGCCATCTCGACGGACGGTACCCTGCATCCTGACACCCTCCGCTTCATCTGGTATCTCGCGGACATCATTGCTCAGCGCTCAATGCCTCTTGAGGATGCGGCGTTTGGTCGGCACTTTGTGCCTGATGACGGCCCTGCTGCTGAGGTCTTGGCTCGCAAACGCGCCGCCACCTATCAGCGCCTCACCATGCCGCTGACGCTGGAAGCGCTCTTGTCTGGTGCGAGGCGCATGACGCCCTTGCGGGCGCAAGCACTTCTCGAGCCAGAGGACAGCTCCTCCTCGGACTTTGTCGAGTCGCCCGAGGAGTCTTCGCCGGAGGTCTCCGACTCCGATGGGGGACACCCTTCGAGTGGCCCCGACGATCGGCGCGGAGCTGGCGAGGCGTCTCCGTCCCTCACTGTGACGTCGGGTGCCTCCGGAGAGCTCGACACCACTGGGGTGCTTGCTGCTGGTCCGAGCTCGCCTGCTTCCTCCCCGGCATCGGTCGGGTCACGCCGGTCCTTGGGCATTGCTGCGGCGTCGCCGCCGTCACGGGCGGCTACCGCTGACTCGGCTACCGCTGACTCGGAGGCTAGCGAGGAGGACTACCTCGAGCGGTACCGTGTTCCTGTGTCCAGCCTCCCTCCGTCCGCTGCCCCAGGCGGACCCCCGGGCAACGCCGGCTCCTTGTCGGCGGCTGCCCTTTCTCCGTCCGCGGCCGCCAGCTTTGTGGCGGCAGCGGACGTCTCGACTGACAGTGGTCAGTCGGCTGCCTCCGGGTATCGCGTCTAAGGGATTTTATTCCTCCTGCATGCTCCTGCTGCTTGTTGCTTGATTGCCTGACCCTTAGGCTGCTTGTCTGCGCGGCTTCGCGCTTGGGCTGGCGGTGCCGCGTCTGGTGCCAGCAGTGCTGGTTCTTTTCGGGCTTGTGTTTTGTGTGTGATTGTGCAGCTTCTCGCTGTGCGCTGTGTGCCAGGAGGTTTAGCTTGTTCCTGCTTTGTTTTGCTTGAGGCACTTTTTACCTTCTGCCAGTAAATCCATGTGACTTTTGCTTGAGGCACTTTTTACCTTCTGCCAGTAAATCCTATGCCTCCATGCCATCTCGACGGACGGTACCCTTTTTACCTTCTGCCAGTAAATCCGTACTTGGCTGCATCCTGACACCCTCCGCTTCATCTGGTATCTGGCGGACATCATGCTCAGCGCTCGATGCCTCTTGAGGATGCGGCGTTTGGTCGGCACTTCGTGCCTGATGACGGCCCTGGCGGTATCGCCAGCCCAAGCGCGAACTGCGCGGCTTCGCGCTTGGGCTGGCGATGCCGGGTCTGCTGACAGTTGCCAGCAGTGCTGGTTCTTTTCGGGCTTGCGTCTCCGTCCCTCACTGTGCAAAAGTGCCAAAAAGTCCAACCCCCCCTGCTTGAGGCACTTTTTACCTTCCGAGGCTGCCAGTAAATCCTGTCCCTTGCCCAAGGACCCCGACGGGGGGAAGCAGGCAGGCGAGCGCGGACCAGCAGCGAGCACCCAAGTGGCGTCGAGCTCTCCGGAGGCTGATGGAACGTATGCCAGCCGTGCCAGTCAGATAGCGCCGAGTTAACAAAAACTCTCCTGTAAACCAAGACGACTTACGTGTTTTGCGAGGCGGCATGTAGCGTGTGGGACGAAGAGGGGGCTTTTCCTAGCCGTCTTGCCAAGGTCCTCTCATGTCTGGATGCTTGGGTTTCACATCCTAGCATACAGTCTATCTCTCATGTGCTCCTCAATACTGGTTTTTGTGTGCATTAAACTTGGTCTTGAGCAAAAACTGTCTTGTTACAGCCGGCCCCCGGGCACGGGCCGGGGGCCCTGGCACCAACCAACCGGGCCTTAACCTGGCCCCCAAACTTAACTGACACCATCATTTGAGTAAAACTCTTCCTCTTCTTCAGTTTGCCGTTACTCTGGGCTGACTGTTCAACGGTACGCCAGACGGCCCGCGAGTCAACGGTAACCCTAGAAGCACCGCTACTACCACCCCTGGTAGTTCCCTAGAAGCATCCGTACTACTACCCCTACGGTATAGATACGGATTTACTGGCATCACCTGGTAGTTCCCTAGAAAGCACCGCTACTACTACCCCTGGTAGTTCCCTAGAAGCATCCCTACTACTACCCCTGGTAGTTCCCTAGAAAGCACCGCTACCACTACCCCTGGTAGTTCCCTAGAAGCATCCCTACTACTACCCCTGGTAGTTCCCTAGAAACCGCTACTACCGCTACTCCCCCTGGTTGTTTTTTTTGTCGAATTGCATCCCCAAGTCTACCACCCACCTCTCCTTTCCTGTTTACTTCCGGGCTCCTGACACCCCTGCTCCCCACACAGGGACTCTACAAGGAGAGAAGATAAGTCAGGCTCCTTCGCCCGCCACCCACCGGCTCTACTTGTACCATGCCGGACTCCTCCTGCTTCTTGCTGGCTGGCTTCTCGCTCGTCCAGTCTGCATTCCCAATCTACTACGCTTATTCCTGGGCAAACATCGATTCTACGGACACCAACGAGAACACACACAACACCTCACTGTACAAAGTGTTCGGTACCTACGTCGGTGTGCTGTGGTTGCTCACCATTGTCAACATCTTGGCTCCACTGATCGGGATCGGCGATGACAGAGGGCAAAGAAATTTCATCAGGACAATCGCCTTTCTTCTCAACTTGTTGGGAGGTCTTGCTGTGACAGTCTTGGGCATTTGGATCATTGCTGCTGTCTTCCCAACAACTGCTTGTGTCAAACTTGGTTTGATGGCTGCCTCCAGTCACTGGGCGTGCTCTGCATACCACATCATCAGCTGGATGCATTTCATCATCTTCTGCTTGCTCGCTCTTTTCCTGATCCTCCTCCCATGTCTCATCGAGTCTCTTAAGAGACCAATCCACGACATTCTGAACACAGCTGGAACAAGATCGATTTGTCCTGATTCAATCATTGACTGGATTCACAGCATGTTGGGTTGCTGTGAAAAGATCGTATTGAAGCCATACACCCTTGGGCCCATAGTGCCACCGCTTGTTGCTGTTAACTCCTATCCCGTGCTCACGCCAGTGGTATCCTCCCCAGGAGTGGTCGCTTTGCAGCCTCCCGTCCTTCATCAGACTCAGATACCTGTCTCCCCGTTTTAGTGATGCTGGTACAGGTGCCAGTGTCTGCTTTTGGCAAGATGATAGTCTGATTTTGGTAATAAATTAAGTGGAGAAAATCACCATGATGCCTCTACTTGTACGATTCTGAATGCACAACATCCACAGAAACATTAGCTGATAGTGAACAACACTGGTATCCTTCACTCTCCTGCAATCGAGCCACGTTATGTTGCCAGGCTCACAACGTCTGTCGTGTGATCATGGGGATTTACACAAGCCCACGCTTGTTTCAAGATTGCATGGCGGATGGAATGTTGTCTTGTTCGATTGCCTGTTCAAAACTGGCAATTGAGTCCCACATGCGTCACAAGTATTGATGGTGTCTCGCAATCTAAAAGGTCCCGTACACGACCAGATAGGATGAGATAGCTGCATCATTGCAGCATGTCGCTCAGAAATTTTCCCTCATTGCTGAGTCATTTTGATCCTTCGCCCTGAGGCCTTGGTGATAGAGTCACGCTGCTTACACTGAATGGTATGGGATCAGCAAAGTTGACCTGGTCTAACACCTCCCATCTGTGTACCAAATGTATTGCCTACGTGAGCCTGCCGCTTGCCTGTGATGGACAAGACGAGGAGCACAATATAGAGGCAGAGATCATCGACCGCTGGGAGCTGCGTGTCCGAGGAGAAATCGATTTGATTCAGGCCATATACCAACATCCCATCATACCTTGCGCCTGATATGCGTGATCGAGGTAGAGAAATCGTGTACGCGATCTTCTTGTTCCTCGTAGTGAACGAGCAAGTCACAACCAGGCGATTGGCAAAGGAGGAATTCGCCGTAAGGAGGCTGCAAGGCATAACATGTGCCTACAACGACGCCTGATGCGCACGGGTGCGTCCGCAATAATCGGGCTCACTTGCTGTGTTCGGATTTACAAACACACCTTCCTTCAGTCGTGATACTACACTAGCGGTATCCGGACCAAGAAGAAGCCGCAATCATCATGGCAACTCATCCATCGATCATTCAATGCACACTCGTTCACCCACAGCCAAACTCGCTCCTCCACTCCAACGAAGAACAAGCAGCGTTGTTGTATCAAGCTATTTTCGGTTGATTGATAGCGGGGGGGCAAATACTAACGCGTCTGAGAAGCAAACATCGCGCAGAACAAATATCAAATTACTCTCTTGACAAACCACGCAAAGGAACGGAAGGTTTGAAAATGAGACATAAGACCATGGGCCGAAGCTGATGCAGAGCTTAGGATGAGGAGGAGAGGCTGCCAGCACAGAGTGAACCTTGAAGAGGATCGAGCTCAACAAGAAATCGCTAACGCGAACAGGGGGTGAGGGGGGAGAGCGCCTCGACAGGAGGAGCAGCGAAGGGTTGCAACCCTCCCAGCAAGCGTCCATGGCAAGCACCATGAAAACTGTCTCGAGACCCTGCATATCCATCGCATCAGACAATGTCAAGCCAGTCCAACCTGCATCTGCAATCATGCGGCTGAAAGTTCGGAGGTACCTGAGGCTGTGCTGGATTCCTTCTCTTAGGTAAGCCGATGTTGTCGCTGAATGCACAGATGGCCATTGTCGTTGTTGTACGTTTGGATGAAACACAGCGGCACCGATTAGTGTGTCCAACAGCTGCTCAAATTGTGCTTGAACTATATTTTCGTTTGATTATCATGTTTGCTGTAATAGGAGAATTATTCACAACAAAGAAGCTGATTGTAACAGGTGAAGACGGTGTTTATATAGCTGATATCGAACTGCAAACTAGGATAAACGTAGAGCTAATAAGTGACTCTATTGCTTGTTTCCTATACTGAGGCGGCCTGAGTTTGGACTTGTTCATTCGGGAGAGACGTGATGGCGCCTGCCTCGCTGTGCCGGTACCTGCCATGCGTGGTTTGCTTGTCCTCTTGGCATGCTTCAAGAGACCGGCAAGCATGCAGTTCGCTGATGGGAGGGAGCTGGACGGAAGCTTTCGCGGAGGATTCCAAACAAGGTCTGCACAAACTTTGCTAGAAGCCCCTGAGAGTGATGTACGGAATATTGGTAATGTCCGAGAATGTCTCACACTGCGCGGAGGAGATGAGAGCTCCAAGAAGGAGGTAGAGAAAGAGATCGAGGGGGTCGAGAAAGAGATCGAGGGGGTCGAGAATGAGATCGAGGGGGTCAAGCACGGTATTCAGGTTGTAGAGAAAGAGATCAAGAGTGTAGGGCAACAGGATCCGAGGAGGCATGCAGAACTTCGTGAAGACAAGGAGCAGCTTTACAAGAAAGAGGAGCAGCTTCGAAAAGAAAAGAAGCAGTTTCGACAGCTGCTTCAATTGAGAGAGGGCAGCCTTCAGAAGAGTCCCTTGTCGGGAGCGAGCATTGCTTGGACAGAGTCAGATGCTGGGCTTGATCGCCTGGGCTTGTGCAATGACAAGAAATACTTCCGTGTAGATACCCCTTACTTGATGGTGGTCGGCAATGGGAACTGCCGACAAGAGCGTCTGCTCTATTGCGAAGCTGCTTCTTGTCTTTTCGAAGCTGCTCCTCTCTTGATCTCTTTCTTTACCCCCTCGATCTCTTGAGTTGCATGGTCCAATTACCTTACTCATGTCTACTGTCCATTTGTGTTGCTAAATCTTGTCAATCATGCGTCGGGCCGCTTGAAGTTGATTGATTGCCATCATACAAGTTTACCTCATGGAAACCGTTGATTGATTGGCAAAACGCTTCTACTGCCCTCACGGTCCATGAAGCCTCCAATCTCCAACTAAGGTCCAGCAGGTCTCCCCTATGAATCCGAGCTGACCTCAGTGCGATCATTTTCCTGAGGCAGGCTCAGTGAGCTGGGCTTTCCTCAGTGAGGCAGGCCGGGCTTACGACTCAAGACCCAAAGGGGTGGTTACAGGACGGTTATAGATTTGATTTCGAAATGGAAGAAGAAGTGGTGGGAGAGGAGGAGATGGCGATGATCGAGGAGAGCATGCGAGCAGCAGAGAGATACCTGAGAGAGAGACACACGAGCCACCCTCCTCTTCATGCCCCTCCCGCATTAAGCCAAGAGAGTCTTCTTTGTCTTATCACGGGAGCATCTTGCATTCTAGACGAAGCTGCTCACGGCTCAGATAGGGGTGGTGGTCAGCATAAAGAGGAACCAGGATCTTCCTCCAATCGCGACGGCGAGGGAAAAAGTGGAGCTGAAGCTTTGGAGAGAGAACTTGGAAAAAGGAAATTGGGCAGGGTGGAGCAACAGGAAGCGAGGATGGAGGAAATTGGCAGGGGAAGTTGGACATCCGATGACGACGATGAATGTGTGATTCTTGATTCCAGTCCCCACTCTGACAAACTGGGCGAGTGGGGGATGACAACGAGAGAGGGCGAGATTATCGAAGACGACTTGATCGTGACTGGAATGAAAGGAGACTTCGCTGGCGTCAGCCTTCCTCATGCAAGAGAACATTGTGCGATCCATCAGTTCGGTAGTGCTCAGTTTTGTGACAACTGTTATGTAAGTCCTTGTTTCATCTGCTACCCCACCTGACTGGTTCTCAGTGCTGCGTGTGTGAGATTCCTGCCTCGAGGTGCCAACGCTGGAAGGAGAGGGAGGGGGGGCACTACCTGGCTCAATACTCGCGAGATGAAAAGAGAGCGGAAGTCATTCTGGTGTCGCCAACCACAGACGACGTGGACGTGAGCGACCTCGACCCTCAGCAGAAGCTCGTGCTCGACTTGTGTCGACAGGGTCGAAATGTCTTCTTCACGGGGATGGGAGGCACAGGAAAGACTTTTTTGTTGCGGAGACTTATCAAGGTGCTGCGGAGACTTTATGGCAGGAATGCCGTAGTGCCTACAGCAGCCACAGGAGTTGCGTCGATTCTCTGTGAAGGCCAAACGCTTCATTCCTTTGCTGGCTGTGGTATCCCTACCAACGTATATGACTTGGAGAAGTGCTGGAAGAACAAAAAGCAGTGGAGAAGAGCGCAAGTCCTCATCATCGATGAGGTCCTGCCCCCTCGTCTTGTCTGTGAGACTGACCGCGTTGAAGGTCAGCATGATCGAGCCTGCTTTTCTCGACTGGCTCGACCAGGTGGTTCGCAGAATTCGAGGAGACACCCAGAGAGTCTTCGGTGGCCTCCAGCTGATCTTCTCAGGCGAGTGAGACTCACTGCGACAGGAGCTGAGAGACTAGCAGGTGACTTCTACCAGCTCTGCAGCTTCACCAGGAACGGCGCTAAGCTCCGTAACAAGTGCCCGCCCGTGCTGCGAAGGTAAGAGAGAGGGATGGATCTGAGAGCTGTTCATGCCATAGCAGCTCAGAGAATGTTGACCTGAACATTCCGGTGGTGGTGGAAGATTGCGAGGCTCTTGTGTTTCAGTCAGCCTGCTGGCGAGAAGCTAACTTTGCTGCCGTGGAGCTGCAGCATGTGTTTCGGTAATTTGGCGATGGAAGCGAGTCCTCTCACGCTCTAGGTGTCGCAGGCAGAAGGATCAGCGGATGGTTGACGTCCTCGGCAAGCTGAGACGAGGGACCATCGACGACTGCACTCGCTGCTTCATCGAGAGCTGCTCGAGACCCCTCAATTGTCAGGTACTCTCACGTGCTCAGATGGGCATCGTTGACAGGCCTAGCAGGATGGGATCGAAGCGACGATCCTCTACTCCACCAACCGAAACGTTGACCGTGAGAACGTCTGCAGGCTTGACATGCTGCCTGATCAGAGCTTCAAGTATGATGCCGACGACTCGGTAATTCGCCGCTGAGGTTGTTGTGGGCTGATGCCGGCAAGGTCGAGCCGTTGAGGTGCGGGGGAATGAGCAGCAGCGCTGCGATGAGGAAGCTGTGGCAGAATCAGTTCTTCTCTTCCTGTCTGGTTCCCAAGACCCTCCACCTCAAGAAAGGCGCGCAGGTCATGCTGACCAAGAACGTTCTAAGCAAGCGACTTGTCAACGGAAGTCGTGGGGTTGTTGTCGACTTTGTGAGCGCCGTTGATGCGTCGAATGAGATAAGAAGACGATTGGAGGAAGTGAAGCAGCAGCTCGGTAGCGTCTGATGCCCCCCCCGAGGGCGAGAGCTCTGACGTTAACCTGAGAAGCTTCTCAAACCTCGAGGATAAGTGCGGAGGAGCAAGAGGTCTACTTGGACGAGGTCGCCACCATCAACATGCAGCTGCAGGTTCAGTCGCCCTCTTCCTCTGTCCCGCTTAGTCTCTCTCAGGCGCTCCAGACCAAGTGGAGGGAAGTCAATTGCCCGGTTGTCAAGTTTCTCAACGGTTGCCGCCACACGTGCCTGCCGGTCGCCTTCGAAGTCGACGTCTTCCTCACCGGCCGATGCTGCAGATTTCAGGTGCCGACCCTCTCAGCTGCTTGGCTTTGACTTCCTCCTAGATTCCCCTCAAGCTTGCCTGGGCTATCACGATCCACAAGAGTCAGGGTCAAACTCTAGACCAAGTGCCTCCTCCCTACCTGTCTCTCCTTCTCACCTCTCCTCAGGTCTGTGTCGATCTCGCAGGCTGCTTTGCTGAAGGGCAGGCGTACGTGGCCCTGTCACGCGCGTCGAGCATGGAGGGGCTTCAAGTGAGGAACTACAGCGACTCTGTTGTCAAGACGAACGCGCTTGCCCGCGAGTTTCATGACGCTGCAGCATGTGGGAGTGACGCACTGGTGGAGGAAGCGTCTTAGTCCGCGGAGGTGCTAAGATGCCCCGTAGGCTGAGTTTGTCGAGCGCGTGGACCCCTGGTGGCAGCCGATCCTTGACCTTCGAGATGAGGAGGAACGACAGGCAAGACCTTCTGCTGACCTCCCTCCTCTTGATGTCCTCCTCTTGATGTCCTCCTCTTGATGGCCTCCTCTTGATGGCCTCCTCTTCAAGCCCTCGGATTGATTTGCTTCAGGTGGGACAGGATGAGAACCGCGGCGGGTGGTTTCAGTTGTTCTATCAAAACCCTGCCTTCCAGCGGTGGATAGGAAGACACAAGGGACGGGGCGAAGGCAAGTAAGGGGCGGGACCATCATGCCATTCTTTATTCTTTTGTACAATAAGAGGAGCAAAGGTCACTCGAGGAAGCGCTCCAGGAACTCAGATGCCTCTATGCAGGAGTCAGAATGACCGAGACTGAACGCTCCTCCATCACTCGCACATGTTTGCTCTCCTTCTCTATCCTCCACCCCAACTTCTTCATGCCCCCTCCGTCTTCCTCTGTCTTCCTCTTCTTGTTTGACTCTCAATTGGCACTGCAAGATTTCGTCTACGTCCGCAGCTGTCATATCTTGCTCAACAGCATCCTCAGCCGAAATAGTAGCTGCCGCCTCCGCTGCATCCCTCGCCATCGCGTGCCTTTGGTGCTGCGCCTGCCAGGGAGGCAACGCCAAGCCTGAGCAACCAGCTTCAAGAGGGACTGCCTTGAGCCCGAAGGAGGAGCAGTCATGGCAGGGATGCTCGCCCAGCAGCGGATGCAGGACAAGGCCCAGGCAGCCATGAGCACCAGCGGCCTCTGCGATGGAGACGAGCCGTGAAGGAGAGAAGCCCATGCCGTGGAGAGGAGGAGAAGAAGGGCATCCAACTGCAGGGATGTTTGTGAGAGCACTGCAGGCTCGTTGATCGTTCTCTTCTTCTCTCCTCCAACTTCAAAGCTGAGGCTCGCCGGAAATGGCATGTGGAACCTCCCTGCTTCCATGCTCGGGCAGTCATGAAACGTTCGAGAGGCTCTTAGCTGGGCGTTCTCTGCCTCGAGCGTAGCGAGGCGATGTGCGAGGATCTGTGACTCAGTTGAGACGACTGCGAGTTTGGCCTCGAGGTTCTTGACATACTCTCTTGCTTGCTCCCTCGACTTCTTCGCAGAAAGCCTGTTCTTCAGCACTCTGACCCGCTGCTTCAACTCTGCTGGGACCTCTTCCTCATCTGCATGCTGCTGCTGAAGCTCTGACAAGTCCTGAAGCTCCTGTTCGATGTTCACGGAGGGGTCATGCGGTCTCTTCATAGAACTCCTGATGACTAAAAGTGAGAAGATAAACCGGATACGAGAGGGAAAATACAAACAAACAGGTTTCTTCCTCACTTGTAGGGTGGATGGAGAGGGAAGAGGGAAAGAGAGTCAGGGAGGGAGGGAGGATCACTCAATTCCAATACTTTTTCCATCTAGTCTTCAAGTCTCCTTCCTATCTCTCTTCCTCTCTCTTCTTCCATCTAGTCCTCTAGTCTCTCCTCCTATCCCTCTTCCTCCCTCCTCCCGACCGTCTGCCCTGCCCATCGTTCCGTGCTCCTCGTTTTATATGCAAATGTTGGTGGATCCACGTGTCTAAAACTTTATTGAAGTACCCACCCGTGATTATCATTGACTACCTACTCCTGACTACCACCACCACCCCTGCAAAAACAATACTGAAGTCAAAACGACCCGTGTATCATCTGCATATGACCCCACCTACTACCCATATAGGTACCCACCCTCGTAGTATATAAAACTTTATACCCACGTGGCATTTTTCTTGACCCCCTTCCACTTTTCTTTCTTTTTTCTCTTTTTTGTTTTTCTTTCTTTTTTTGTTTTTCTTTCTCTTGTGTAAAACGCTTTTATTTTCTTTCTTTTTCTTTCGATCTTTCGATCTGGCAGGGAATGGTGGCTCAGACTTGGCCTGTCCTCCTGCTCCTCCTGCCCTCGGCATCGACCTTGTGTCCCCTTCCTTGTCTTTCTCTCTCTCCTACTTCTCCTCTCCTCTCTCCTATCGTCCCTTCCTCTTCGTCTTTGGGGTTTGCGCAGCGCACTGGGAACCTGATCCATCGAAACCAGCGCAGCAATGTCGTACGGCGGCAAACAAACAAGGAGCAGAGAGGTGAAAAGTCGACAAGATATCAGAACAATTTGATCAAGACAATTGATAGATGGTCTGATCCCAGAAGTTTCTCTTGTTCTCGTTCCCTCATGTCCTACTAGGATCACTGGGGCAACTGGGGCAACGAAAGAGTACCAGAGCGAGGACAGCAGGGAGCTACCTCCTAAGAGAACAGGGTTGAGTGTCGAAGAGGTCTTTGTGATGCGACATCGGGTTGCAATGACGATGACATCAAGATGTGCGACGTTGTATCTGAAGAATTGACGAAGAGAGAATGGTTCGTGACGGGGAACGTTCCATTTGAACTCTTCAGCTCTGATTTCACCTTCAAGGTCTACTGCCCCACCTCTCTCAGCTTCTTCTCACGTGTGTCAGGACCCCGATGTCCAGCTCTCTGGGATCGACAACTACGCACGTCGCTGAGCTCTCCTCACCTCCAACGTGCGTGACTGTGGCTGATGGCAGGGGGTGTGCGACGACTTTTTGATCAAGCGACGTCGCGTGCTGAGATCATCGCATGCCGGTGAAGGCAACAACGCGCCCATCTGCTCTTCTCTTGCTCTTCTTATGCTCTTGCCATGCTCTGCTCTTGCCAACTCTTCGCTTCTCTTGCAGTCTCAACGCGACTGTTCCCAACACTATCACAATTGTGTGGCGACTAGAGGGGAAGGTAACGAAGCAGCAGCGAAGCGGCGCCTTGAACCGCTCGCAGGTGAACGTCGGGCTGGGGTTGCGGATCAAACCGTATGTGGTAAGGGAGCAAGCATCAGAAAGTCCACTCTCCTCTCCTTACTCTTGCTGACTCAGGTCTTCACTGACTTGCGCGTGTCTCCCTCCAACGGGCTCATCGAGTACCAGGAAGACAGGTTTTAGTCCTTCCCGTTCCTTCTCGTCTCACGCGAGGCTGGCAGGTTCTCTCTGCCTGGCTGGGACATCTTCTTGTGAGGCTTCTGCACGTGCATGCCGAGGACTGACTGTCAACCCAGGAGCGCACTCTTCCCTTTCCTCCAACCGCTTTTGGCTCCTCCAGCTCCACCTGCTGAGCAGCTGAGGGCTGAGCTAAGTGCCCAGCTAGAAAGATGATACTCGGGCTGCTCTTTTTCATTCTAGACAACAATTGAGCAGCAAGCTTGTGAATACTAGGGCTTAGCTCTCTTGACAACCGCCTCTTCCCCATCGCCCTCTTCTTCTCGCTTCCTCCTCCTCGAAGCCAACTCTTCTTGTCCACACATGGCGATATCCAATGCCTTCTCTTCGCTATCTACACATCCTCCCTGATGCTCTCGGTTCTCTTGCGGCAAGTCCGAACACTGGTGCAAGCTTTCCTTCCTTTGATCGATCGCGTTCGGTGACGCAGAGGGGTGTGGACGGGGTTCAGAGCTGCTTGCAAGCAGTTGACGCTGCCTGCTGAGCGTCTCAGTGACAGCACTAGCTCGACGGGGCTCATGAGTTGAGATGGATGCATGGGGCTGCTCCCTGCTCCACAGACGAGGTTCTTTGCCTGAACCCAAGAGGACGGATGCGAAAGCAGGGCCTGCGCTGAAGCTGGTCTCTATCTCACCAGATGTTCGAGTACCGACCTGAAAGCTGTCAAGAGCGTCGGGCAAGCAGCGCTGTCTGATCCACTCTTCGATGAGGGAACGGAGGGCGCGGTTGGGGGCGATTTCATGCAGCTGCAGTCGCTTCTTGGTCATGGGGTCTGTTCCCTTGGTCGAGATCCATCTGGCTAGAAACTCGCGGTCGAAGGTGCTGCCGTCGGGGGTGATGGCGGGCTGCTTCATGATGCCGCGACTGATGGGGCACAAGAAGGCGCTGGGAAGGTCACTCTCAGGCAGACTCTCTATCCACTCGGGGATGCTGAGCTCCACAGGCCATGCGGCAGAACGTTTCTTCTTCCTCGGACGATATCCCGAGCGACAGAAGAAGCAATACAGCCAGATCGCCTTCAGTGCCATCATGGCCATGATGCAGTAGATGATCGCAAGTTTGATGTAGCGGTGCAAGACAGCTTGCAACACGTTTAGAGACAAGAGCAGTAGCATTCTTGCCAGTGGCTCCAGCACAAGGGACGTCAAATTCATACCGCGAAGGAGCAGTGTGTTTGCAATCTCCCAGGAGGTGTCGTACAAGGTCAGGATCCACAAGAAGTTGACGATGGCGAAGTTGTTTGGGAAGAGCTTGTCGAAGAATCTGACGACATACAGACGAGGAGCGACGAGGAGGGTGAATCTCTCCCAGTAGGTCATGTTGAGATTCTGCAATACTGGAGGCACCATCCACTCGTACTGAAACTGCTGGAACTGCTTGCAGGAGTCCCTGCTGCTGTTCGTCAGGTTCCCTCGGCTGAATATCTGCATGGGGACGCGATGAGAAGGAGGGCAGTCACTCTTGACTGGAACTGTATACATGAGGAACATGAAGAGAGATCTTGGAATGTACAAGTACGACAGCAGGAACAACTGAGCCGTGTCCACATCGCTCTCCACAAACGACCAAAATTCCAGCTCGGCACTTTGTTCCACCTCTGCACTTTTGGGGAGCTTCTTTGAAGTTCCACCATGTACTTGCAGCAAGCTGAAGATCACTGAAGCCAACACAATCAGGTCCTTTCTCTTCATGTGAAAGAAAGGACCGCACCCAGATAACCCTTGATAATTGTGAACCTCCTCCTGCTCCTCCTGCTCCCCCCCTCGACTAGTTGCTCAATTTATGTATGTTCCTCCAAGCTGTTCCCTCCTCTGTCTTATCTCCCTCCCCTTGCTTTTTTTTCTTCTCTTCTCTTCTCTTCTCTTCTCTTCTCTTCTCTTCTCTTCTCTTCTCTTCTCTTCTCTTCTCTTCTCTTCTCTTCTCTTCTCTTCTCTTCTCTTCTCTTCTCTTCTCTTCTCTTCTCTTCTCTTCTCTTCTCTTCTCTTCTCTTCTCTTCTCCTTGCATGGCGGTTCTCCAGCAGCACACTGCGTACTTAAGCGACTGCGTACTTTTTAGAACGTTGTGCGAATTTATGCCATCCCTCCCTCGCTCCCTCCCTCCGTCCCTCCGTCCCTCCCTCGCTCCCTCGCTCCCTCGCTCCCTCGCTCCCTCGCTCCCTCGCTCCCTCGCTCCCTCGCTCCCTCGCTCCCTCGCTCCCTCGCTCGCTCCCTCGCTTCCTCGCTCCCCTGCCTGACCTCGCTCTCACAACACCTCCATTTGCTCTTGTCTTGACCTCGTGCTATGATTTCTTCCCCTCCTCACAAGTCGATAATTTGCAGAAAGGCGATGAGTTGAGCATGGGGCTTCTTCTATTCGCGGGATGTTGTCTCATAGCGCTGGGTCCCATCACCATCGGTTGCTACTCCTCGTCATCTTCCTTGTGACTCTTATCCTAGTGTTCTTGTCTGCGATCGCTCCCAACGCCGAGCTGGTGGTTCTCATGATCTTGAGGTGATCCGAGCGTTAGTCTCTTCCTCTGGTCACGTCCATGTGCAGCGGCTACGTGTGGGTCTGTTCCGTCGCCGTCGCTTCCTTGCTCTCTCTCGTCCTCCCCGTATTGCAGGTCAGCCATGACGTCAGCAGGATGTCGGGAGGTGCTCACGTGCCAAGCAGAGCACGTTTAGGTCGATCCTCTGTGCTGTAGTGATGCAGGTATCCCTCCTTCCTCCCTCCCTCGTCGGACCCCCCTCGCCTGCCTCTCACTCCTTGTCTCCTCTTCTCACATATTTAATTCTCTGCTCTCTTCTTTCGATCTCTCGCGCTCGTTCTCCCCCTCCCCTCCATCGCTTGTTCTTCTCCATCTCTCGGTTAAATCCAACTCACAGGAATTCGGTCGTTACGCCTATTATGCCTTCTGCTCTGCTGCTGAAAGGTGATTGTGGTTGGAATCGAAGACGAAGATCGGAAGGGGATGAGAGCGAGGAGGGAGAGATGTTGAAGAGAGTGAGCGAGTTTGCGAATAGGCGGGTGAGGAAGTTGACGTCACAGAAGCTCTTTCATCCGGACAGGTGAGACAGACAGTATGCGCTCCAACTGAGACTCTCGTCAGCTTCGACTCTATCCTGGCGAGTGGGCTTGGGTACTTCTCAACTTGCTCTTCCTCTCCTTCAGCCCCACCCCTCGTCTCATCAGCTTCACAGCTTCGGCTTTGCCTCTGCTCTCGTCCAGCTTGGGAGGCCCTTGGAGCTTGCGCTAGGTCCAGGCAGCTCATACACTTCGACGTGAGGATGAGAGGCTGTGAGAGGAGAAGTCAGAGGGCGGGCAGGTGTCGAGCCTTCTCCTTCCAGCTCAACTCTGCCATCCATACGAGCGTGATGGCGATGCTCAACCTAATCCTGATGGTGCGCGAGGCTGCGATGAGATGTCGGTGAACGAGCTCAGGTGCTGGCGGTCGAGGGATACAAAAGGAGAAGTCGCCTGCGAGTCGCGGCTGTGTTTCTCATTCACCTCCTTGCGTCCACGGCAACTTCGTTGAACTCGCTCCAAGATGGGTAAAGAAACTCTCCCTCTCCTCTCCTCCTCTCCCCTCCCTTCCCCCCCTATCTCGTCTCGTCTCATCTCGTCTCGTCTCGTCTCGTCTTACTTCTTCTCAGATGCCTCATTAGCCTTTGCTTGCTCACTGCCGTTACTCTCCTTGCTGGTGTTTGGGCAGGTAAGGGGGTTGAAGACGGAGCATCGCTGACAATAGACGAGTAGGGAAGCAGCTGGGGCGGGAGCTAAGAGAGGTTGGAACTTAGAATTGTCAGTGCAACACTAGTCTTCAAATCTCTCGCTTCCCCTTGAGCCTCTTCTACGCGCTCGATCATCTCACTATCCGCACGAGACGAGGGGACGAGAGCGAGTGTCACCTGCAAGAAGCTGTCAGCCTGGACCTTGTATCTCTTTGTCTTCACACTCACATCATATCGATGCATGCCTGGTCAACACGGGATCGCTCTTTCCTCCTACGCTTCGTTTCTTTGCCTTCTTGACCTGAGAGCCTGTCAGAGCCCACCACAGCCTCTTCTCCTCACCATCTTCACTCCCTTCAACATCCCCCCCAGCGCAGAGGCCGGCATGGAGAAGAGGCTTAGCAGATTCTGTCCAACGTTGGCTGGGCGGTTGACGTAGGAGGGGATGGGCTTGCCCACAAGAAGCTTGCTGAGCTCGTTGGAGAAATGATTGCAATTCCGACGGACCTGGAGGAGGTGAGCGACAAAGCAGACGATGAAGAAGATAGAAAGAAGGGAAAGAATAAGGCGAAGACAGAAGGAATGGATAGAATACATCCAAGCAAACCAGTGGGCAAGTAAGGCGACAGAGGAGAGAGAAGGGGTGAGGGAGGAAGTTGTTGACGGAAGGGGAGGGGAAGGGAGGAGGAGGGAGGAGGGAGGAGGGAGGGTATCACGATATCGTAGGAATCGCCTTGGAAGCTGACAGACAGTCTTCGCAGCAAGTGCTCGACCTGCGGCTTCTCATCGCCTGGCACGATCGCGCGCGGGTCACCTCGAAGCGACTCCTTTGGCAGTAGCCCAGCAGGACGCTCTCCTTGAACGTGACCTGAGACATCACGGCTGAAGCACACTTGCAAGGGATCTCGAACACGCCAGTCCTGCCCCCTTCCGAGTACCCGAAGGAGAACTCCCGCCCGTAGATCTCAACCCCTGAGTGGTACAGCCCCAGCCCCAGCCTGCTCAGCCCTGCGTTTCCTCCCTTCACCCCCCCTTCCCCCTCCTCCCTCTGAAATCTCAGGTCATAGACGTTGCACATCACGGGCTCTCCCTTCCCCTCCGGCCTCTTGTAGTACCCCTCTGCGTACTCCACAGCCCGCTTTGCTGCTGCCGCTACCGCCTCCTCGTGCTCCTCCTTCTTCTCGAAGTATGCTCGCACTGCTTGCTCCGCATTCCCTTGCGCGTCTGCAAGGAGACGACCAAACATCTCCTCATCGATGCCGTTTCCCAGCACGCGAGTGAGCTCAAGCACAGGCTTCCGAGGACCAACCCTCCTCGCACCTCCGCCCTTCCTCTTCAACGCTTCTTCTGTCCTGCTCTCCTCCTCGAAGAAGGCTTCCAATGCCACCTGCTCATCGCCCTCTGCAGCCTTGAGAAGAAGGTCGAGTGTATCTTCGTCTCCTCCAACGATCCGCCGCATCTCCGCCGCCATCCGATGGCTGCACCTGAATGCAAGCAAGAAATCAACAGTTGCCCTCCCTCAACTTCCTCCATCTCGACACTCCATCACGCTCCCTCCCTCCC